CGTTGATCATATGGCAGTTCAATCCATGTTTTGGTTCTCTTTCGGGTTGGGGTATTTACCAAACCAAATAAACTATCCATCGGTTTAGTACAGCTTCGATGTTCAATCAAATATGTCTCTAATTTCCAAAGGAATCAAACTTTCAGTTCTGATTCAGTTTTGGTTCCGGATTATCTGGCGTAAGGCCCTCTACTCTAGTCAATCTGCAAACAGCAAGAAAACACACCTGATCCACGCTTGTGAAAACCGAATCTTCGGGAATGTCTGAAACTCCGCTCGACAATAACTGACGTGCATGCTCACGTGTGTTGTACAGTTTGTCCCTCACATCTCCGAGAATAGCTCGGTATGGCTCGTTCGAAGGGATTTGTTTCCAAAATTCTACATTCATTCGAAACCCGATCATACATTAAAAATATATAACAAACTGTTAAAAAAGCTCGGACACATCTTAAACTAGCGAGAAGGTAACACACCTATATAGTGTTTTGCATCCCTTTTCGCACACCTCTGACGTTCTGCACGAACACGAAGTTCCTCATTGCAACGCCACATGGACATCTGCCAACAAACGCATGAAACCAAAAGTAAGATCAATGTCACTGACATTTACAACTAAGAAACTAAAAAGTTGCGATAAAATTTAACTCTTTATTACCTCAAACATAAGATCTTCTATCTGGGAGAAGTAGAGATTAGCAGCCATCATTCTTGCCAATAAGCATACATCTCTGGTAACTTCAGGAGTTACTCGCGGGTTTCCTGTATACAGAAGTGTTTAATAATAATAACCAATTCATGTTTTAATGGTTTAAGAGAAGAAATGATTAAGAGTGTACCATCACGGTCTCCGCCCATCCAGGAAGAGAATTGAATGAGAGGTGCATTGTAAGGAACACGCTCGTTGATTCCAATGTTCTTCAAAGCCGTGTCAACACGTCTCAAGAATTTTGGAACTCCTTTCCAGATTGTCTCATGGAAGTAGCTCATACCCGCTCTCATTTCATCTTGAGGTGTAGGAGGAGTTCTTCGGATTTCATCAGTGCGAAAAGCAGCTTGAATCTGGTGCAACAAACATAGTTTTAGCAGAAATTAATGCAAACGAAAAAGCTTCATCGAGTTCTTTAGTTGTGTATACCTCTCGTTGCAGAGCTTCATCAAGTTCTTGTTTATCATCAGGAGTAATGTCCTTTGCATACAACTGCGTTAAACAGTCACGAATCCTGAAAAAACAGCGAGACAAAACACACACATCATCAAAGTCACACACAAGAAATCGAAATATCAGGACTCAGGACAAAACTTTACAAACCTTCCAAACTTTTGGAGCAAAGACCGACGAACAGATTGAGTTGGATGAGCGGTTAAGACCAGGTCAACAGTCTGATTCTTAAGAGCATCAAAGACCTCTTCAGGAGTCTTGTTAAGCTGCAAAAGCCTCTTGAGAGTCTCTTCAATGTCTGATTCAGTTGTTGCAGAGGCTTCATCGGCAAAATCGCCTTTCTTAAGCTTCTTAATCCTACGCCTGTAAGCAATCTGGACTTCCTCAGCCAGATTAGCCAAGCTAAGCATGTTGGAGAATGATTTCGTTACTACAATCGAATCCCCTGGATCCAAACTTGTCAACATGTTTCCAAGCTCCTCTAACTTCTCCGTGTTACGGTTTCCATCGTAATCAGCAGCAACCTCGTAGCATTCTTGAACCTTTACACAAAAACAATCAAAGACTCAAACTCAATGAGAAAGTTCCATTCATACAACAAGAATGAGCCAAAACAGTTCTGATCTGAGTATCTGACCAATTTCACAACAAAGGTTTGAACTTTTGGGATAATTTCAGCAGAAACAACAAACCCATATCACGATTTACTCAAAGTTGAGGTTTTTACACAAACTCTGTTTGATAAACCCTAAATGTATCATAAAGTTGAGATTTTTAACACAAACCCAGCACAGATGATAAACAAGTAAGAAAAGTGTGAGAAAGATCTTCAGAGGAAAAGGGAACATACGAATTCTCTGACTTCTTCGCCATGCAAATCCTGAAGAATATCGAGAAATCGATCTAATAACAGAGCATCGTACTCAATAAGCTTATCGTCTTCAGAAACTTTCCCAGGAGCAAGAAGCCTGAGCTGAGCATCAATGGAAGCCATCTTCTCCAAACTTCTAGCAGCCATGGTTGATGCTTTTTTTTTCACTCACCCTTTTAAAATCCCAATCCCAAATCTAATCAGATTGACACAATCGGCGAAAATCAAGGAGATATTATAACCCGAAAAAGCTGGAAGTGAAACACGTCAAACAAAAAGATTCACTCTTTTTGATTAATTATGGAAAATGAAGAAATTTTTTTGAAGGAAAAAAAAAACAAAGTGGAAATAAAGTGGAAGTATCTCGTGAAAAACCCAAAAAACAGGTAAAAAAAAAGGAAGATCGAGAAGTTTCGTTCGTTCACGAGGAAGACGATGGAAAGAGAAGAGACATGTGATAAATAAAATTTCTTGTTTTTCTAAAAGAGAAAAAAATCTCAGTAGCCAAAGCTAGTCCATTCGATTTCGATGTGTAGTTGTAGCTTATTTATAGCCCAAATCTCTCTCTTTTTTAATTAATTCTTATGGAGTTTTTCTGTTTGTTTACAACAAAACAATATATTTTACTTTTTATTTATTACATTAATATTTTTGCAATTACCCCATCGTATATAATATTTTAAAATTTTTCTAAACCCAAATTATGAAAGGACGTCATGTGTCAC